ACACACACACCAAAAAAAAAAAAAAAGTAAATAAACAATAGCTGGCACCAAAAAGCCTGATGAGAACATTTTAGAGGAAGAAAAGTTTATTTGGCTCATGTTTGTATTAGTCTCAGCCCATAGATCCGACTCAACAGCTCTGGGCTCAAGGTAAGGCTGAACATCAGGGTGAAAGGTCATGGGAGAGGAAAGCAGAGAGAGGGCTCTGCCCAGCAGGGACAAAATATATATCCCAAAAAAGGTACACCTCTTAGTGACTACCTCCTTTAGCCACACCCTACCTGTCCATAGTTATCACCCAGTTAATCCCTATCAGTGGACTAAGCCATCAGTTAGAGTACACCTCTCATAACCTACCTATCTCACCTCTGAACATTCCTGCATTGTCTCACACATGAGCTTTTGGGGGACACCTGACATCTAAACCATAAAAACATAATTAGATAACAGACTTTGAAAAATAGGTACTAATCCAGAAATGTACACAGAGTAAGGGTAGTACCTGCACTTAAAAGATGACTAGATTTCTATGTATGGGCAAAATAAATGAGAAGCCATAAAATATCTGGCAGTTCCAATAGTTAACATACAGCTGTTACTTGATCTAGTAACTCCACTCATGGGTATATAGCTAAGAGATATGAGAATATATGTTCACAAAAAAACTTAACCCTGAGTATTATAGCAGCATTACTCATTATAACCCAAAAGTGGAAACTACCCAAAAGTCCACCAGCCAATGAATGGCAAACACTGTACTATATCCATATAATGGAATGTTATTCAGCCATAATAAAAATGAAGTACTGCTAGGCACAGTGGTACACACCTATAACCTCAGTAGCTCAGGAGGCTGGGGCAGAAGGATCACAAGTTCAAAGCCAGCCTCAGCAACTCAGTGAGGCCCTAAACAACTCAGTGAGACCTGTCTCTAAATAAAATATATTTTAAAAGTATGTGGGGGAGGGGTGGTGCTGGGGATGTGGCTCAGTGGTTAAGTGCCCCTGGGTTCAATCTCTGGTATAAAAAAAAAAGTACTGATTTATGCTGACATGGATGAGCACTGAAAACACTATGCAAAGTGAAAGGAGCTGGTCACAAAAGACACTGTATTTGCATGTATTTATATAAATCATCCAGAATAGGCAACTCCATAGAGACAGGGAGTAGATTAGTGGTTACTTACAGCAGGAGGAAGGGATCAGAATAGCTAAAGGGCACCAGGTTTCTTTTTGAGGAGATGAAAATGTTCTGAAAACAACAGTGGCATCCCTTGGTGGATACCCTAAACATCACAGACCTGCACACTAAATGATATGGCATGTGAATTCTATCTCAATCTCAATAATGCTATTTTTAAAAATGAAATGGGAGAAGCGTTCACCTCTCTTCAAAAAGACCTAGGGAATCTAGAGGGAGCTGGTGTTCCAGGGGCTACATGAGGCAAAGAAGCACCAGGTACAAACTGGGCTATGAACAAAAATACCGAAAGGATGGGAGAAAGCTAAGAGGAGGGGAGAGTTCTTAAAAGGGAAAGCTAAATAAAGGTCTAAAATTGGTATGGAGAGGAGAGAGGAAGTAAAAGTGAAACTTCCACCCAACTATCTGGAAAAAGAAAAGCACCTCAACAGCTGGTAAAGACAACATCATCAGTGCAATGGCTACAAGCTACAACCACCACTACCATAGGGGAAGCTCTATGGTCTGACTTTCAGATGGGAAACAAGGCCAAAGACGTTAAGTGTTGTGGTTATGTATTGCTAAACGCCTGTCTTTTAGAAATATATGCAGAACAATTTAGAAGTAGTTGGCAGAATTTCTTGAATATCCTATAAAACAATGCCAATAAGGAATGAGATATGAATGGTATACAATTGGCCATGTTGATAATTCTTGAAGTTGAGAGAAGGGAGAGAGTTTGAAATTTTCCATAAGAAAATTCCAAAAGTAAGTTATTTAAAACTTGTAACACTTGCGAAATGTGTCCATGTGCCCCAATGTGACCCCTCTGATTTCCTTCTACCTGGATACCATTGTACTCTCTGTTTGTACTCACTGCTGGGTCTTTATTCAAATGCTATCTGCAGATTGAGATTTTCCCATTATGCTTTTCAAAACTACATCCTTACAGGTATATGCTACACCCATTTACTGCCCTATTTTTCTCTACAGCACTCATCTTCCCACACTTCCTCCTCATCCGTTTAGAACTAACATTTCTGTGACATTTACTTTGTGCCAGGCACTGTTCTAAATTTTTCACACACTCTAACACATTTACTTATCCCTTGATTAGGTCAGAACCCTTCAAAATGTTTCAAAGTAATATCAACCAAGCCCAGCCCTCAACAAAAAAATGAACTCTTTTGGTTTCTAAACAGCAATCTTCAAAGGGGAGCAGGAGGATGAAGATAAGGTAAATAAGGCATCTTGATTAAGAAGTAGTTGATATGTGAGCAAAGCCCACAAATCCAAGGGGCATTGTTTGGAAAAACAGCAAGAAAACTCGTCTTTGTTCTCACAGAAGAGAAGATATTTGAAGATAATAACAAATTGGTCCTTGGTACTAAGGCACATAGCCAGCCTACTTGAGAGACTGTTTTCAAATGAGCAAGACTCAGAAGGGCCAAACTAAGCTCATTTAGCTTCAATTCCTCAGGCAGAGGGGTGAAGGGAAGATCTTTAAATCTCATGATCCAAACATCTCTCCAAAATACCAGCACTCACCAAGCATGAGCAGGATACCTTGAATGTCAGACATTAACATTGACTTCCCTGAGCCTCAATGTCCAAAAATCAAAAGTTTAAGAGTGAAATCCCACCCCATCCAGATTTTTGTATAGGTAATAGGTTAATTCAAATGACTTGATAAGTGAACCATATTTTAAAATAGTCTTTAAATAATATAAAAGTTCAAGTCTCCTTACCAAATTTAAAGCAGCCATTTCAAAAGCTGTCTTGTAAAAGTAATTTCTAAATAAAGAGAATAAGGAAGTACCCCTGCATATATTTTCAGAACTCGGTTTTCAGGTCCACTGGAACTTGTTAGAATTAAAAAAAAAAAAAGTGAAAAAGCATAAGGAGAAAAAATATCTCCACCTTCCAATTTTCATCATCTAACAAACTAAAGAAAAGCACCTATCAGCCAGGCATGCTTTTCAATGTTACTGCCAAAACAAAACAGAGATCTAACTTATAGAATTATCTTTTAATAAGTGTCAAACTAAGGATCCGATACCAGAGTTCAAGCATTATTTTTAAAAAGGCGATTTTCTACCTAAGTGTTAAGTAAATCATATTAAAGGTATAGCTTGCCAGCTTTTATTTGCCATTTTCCAGCTTCAAGATACAGCTGACTAGACCACTTGAATTCCAAAACTTCGTTTTACATTCTGAGAATTTTTCTTCTCAGTTCATACTCCATATTTCAGTAAAAATAAAACATTCATTCATCATGAGACTATTACCACTATTTTGTAGATCGGAAAATGAAGACCCAGAAAAGGTGACAATTACGGTCACTCAATGGACTGCTCAGGGTGCCCTTGCTCCAGAGCCCCTGGTCATATCCTACATACACCTCTCCATGTGGAATAAAACCCAGTATGGAAATTACAACACGGGCGCGCGCCCACAGACACACAAACACCAATCCCAATCCAATTCATAATTTTATGTCAAGGGCCAAGAGCTAGGGGTATCTTAGTGATACAGTGCTTGCCTGGCATGCACAAGACCCTGGGTTTGAGCTCCAGACACACAAAAAATAATAAAAACAGTTTTATGCCAATCTAGATAAATCATGCATTAGCTATGTGACCTTAAGCACTTAACCTCTCTGTGCTTCAAGTGTTATAAAATTATTGTGAGAACCAAATGAACTGTAGCATGCATATCTCAGTCTGGTACACAATGTTCTATAAAAGTTAACTTTAATATCACCAGCATTATTATTGCATAAAGACTTACATACAAGTTTAGTGTTAAGAGCACAACTAAGGAGGCCTAGTTTTATTTCTCAACTTCTTGACTGAGTCATCTTTTAACTCTTTTAAATTACAATAGAAAAATCAAAGATCTGATTAGGTACCATGAAAAATCACAATAAAACTTAAAGGCACTAGGATTGCTTAAATTTATTATCTCTGGAAGGCAGAACACACATACTTAGGAAGAAAAGCTTAAATTTTAATGATAACACAACCAACCATGAGAATTTCTTCTTTCCATTTAGAAAAATTAATCTAGATTTAGTAACAAAGGAAACTATTCAAATTTGTCAGGACTACTATCTGAGCATCTTCCAATTTTGGGGTGGGGTAGGGCGTAGGGGGTTGTAGGGTGTGTCTGCAAGCAATGTGTTCATTCTTAGCTCTTCTCTTATCTTCTCCTAAAGACTAATGAAAATGCTTACCCTTGAATGTTTCTCCTTGCCTCTGATAGAATTTTCCCTGTGTCAGAAAACAAGAGCTCAAAAAGCCAACATGTTCAGAGTTTAATTGTTACATGAAGATTATATCTAATCATATTTAAACATCAGGGTCCGTGACCCTCAATTTTCAGCAAGGATCCTAACATCTCACCTACTTGGTACAGTTCCTAAGGAAGTTGAGGAAAACCTGTCTTCTGATGTCACACAGTGATGAGCAGTTTCAGGTGGAAGTATTTTCATACTTGAACTTGAAGCCATGGAGAAACATGCTCTCTCACACTTAGGTAATTATGAAAACCCCAGGGTTACCAAGAAGTCATTGCCTTTAACCTTTCTCAAGACAAGGTTGTGTTGGAAGCCTGGAGGAGAGGGATGTGGGCAGAATGTGGTGATGCCCTCACTTGTAGAGACCACACTTCATACTTTCAAATACTCTCTCTCCCTCCAGTCTATTTATCTTTCAACTCCCCAGAAAGGCAGAGCAGGAGGATGCTCCCTCACCTCACACAGGGAACTAAATTTCTAGGACATTTCTTGACGGCTCAAGACCTCAAGGCTATCAGGCTTTAGGACTGGGTATAAGGAACCCAAATTGGCCAATTCTCAGTCCTTGGCTCTTCCCACTACATCTCAATTCAGACATCCTTCCAAATTCCATTGTAAATAACACAGTACAAGCTGCCTGAGTATACTCTTTCCTTTAGCTCTTAATTCGAATTTAGGGCAAAATATCCCCGCCTCTGAAGGTTCTCTACTTCATACAAGCTGATGGAATTCACAGCGAACCCCCTCCCAGGGGTGGGGGTAAAAAGTGCAGTTCCGCTTTCCGGGCTGCAATCTCAGTAGGTGGGTTTCACGTGGGGCTGTCTGACCCAACAATATGCCAATCTTCATACTCCAACCTAGCTCGGGGTTAAGTCCAGAATATCTTGCTGCCATCGCCTATCCAGGGGTTTGAGAGTGGGTTGGGGGTCGTCCGCAGGCCTTCGGCTGTCTCCTGGGGAAGCCGAGAATCCACGGCGCCGGGAGGACACGCTGGGCGCGGGCTTCGCACTCACTGAGGCTCCCTGCCAAAAGGAATCCTGAGGCTGGACTCCTACTGCTGCCCTCTCCCGACCCAAGCCACGCACAGGGTCGCCCTCGCTTCGCAAAGTCATCGCCGCAAAAATCTGCCTCTCAGCGAGGTTCCCCTTCCCAGGGCCCCCGCCGCTGCTCCGGCCCACCCTGAATTCCCAGGTCTCGGCTCCGCACAAGGCTCGAGGGCGCCCCTCCCGCCACCCCACCTCCTCCGCGGCCTCTCCATCCCCTCCTGCCAAGCATCCCTGCTCGGCTCGCCTCACCCCGGCCCCAGAAAGCTGCGCCAGCTCAGCGCTGCGCGTCAGGTCCTCGCTGGCTCGGCTCCTGACATCCTTCAGCGGTCACAGCGTCGCCCAGGGCGGCAGGGAGACGGAGCGACGCCGGGACGCCGCCTCGCTCCCGCCACCTTCGTGTCTCCTTCGGGGCCGCAGCAGCAATCCCAGGGAAGCGAAGAGCCGCCGCGGAGCCTGCTGCACGCAGGGAGGTGCGGCCAAGCCGGAGGGCACGTGGGCTCCCCGCGCCCCCACCCCCGCGCCGTGCGCCCCCAGCCACGCGCCACGCCGCGGGGCCGCAGGAAGCACCTGTGCGCCCCTCTTCCCGTCCTCCCCCCGGAAATCACGCTCTGCCCTCCTGCGGGACCAGACGCAGCTGCGCCTCCAGGGGTCGAAATAGGGGGCCGGCAGAAATGAGTTCCCAGCCCCAGCTGCTGTAAACCGCAGAATTTAGCATTCGGTTCAAATGTTTGAAATGAAGAACGAGTCGTTTGTAATGAAATCAAAGGGCCCCCGGACACCGACGACTCACCCGGAACATCGAGCTGCAGCATTCAGACCTCATCTGGCTTCTCCGCCTGAAGCCCGACCGAGAACTTGGTCGTCAGCATCTATCCAACCTAATCGTCACCTTGCCCTCTTGCAGCGAGAGTTTGGAATACCGTCACAGTAGGGCCCTAGATAGCTCTGCGATCTTGATGGAACTGAGAGAAGCTGCCAGCGCATACTGAAAGTTTTTGAAAACAGAAACAACCCTGCCTGACAGTAGGAGTGGCGCAAGGCGTCCCTCCGCCTCCAGGAGGCTTAGCGCGCTGTCCAAGTCCCCTAACTCCTCTAGGGAAAGGATCTCAGAGCCACCTGCAAGCCTAATGGCCCTGGCTCTCTTAGAAGAGCCCCTTCTGCTTGCTTGGTAAAACCAAACTCTGTGACACTCTCCCTGGTTCCTTATCTCTGCCCTTTCTCATTTCCAGATAATGAAACCAAAACCCTGGTATTTTGAGCATTGCTCTTGACCACTCCCTGGCACATCCTGGCACGGAGTGATTAAGGAGCCTTACTAGTCGCTGCCTTCTCAGAAGTTAGAAGTCACTATGACAAAATCGGGTGAATACTAGCTGCCAATCACGGCCTCCCCCTTCCGTTTTTGGGGGGCCTAGACAGGCCGAGACCTGAAACAATTCCTGGGGGATTCTCCCTCAGGAATGCATATCCCCTGACTGCCACCTGAGAAGAGCTTTTAAGCAGGAGAAAGTGCTCTACCGCTGTAAATACTCCAGACACTAACAAACCATGGCTTCCATTTCACAAATGAGGGATCTGTGGCTTAGAGGCTAAGTAACCTGCCCAAGGTCACCCAGCTAGGAGGTAGCACAGTCAGGCTTTGAAGGCAGAGATGTCTGACACTAAAGCCCATGCCACCACAAGAGCAGAGAAGCAATGAGATAAAGAGGCTAAGCAGGAGCTTCTTTAAGGAATATTTAAAAGGAAAGAGTAATGAGGAGAAAGGATCTCAAAATAAAAACAGATGTAGCCAAAGGTAACCAGTGAGTCTACTTGTCAAAACAAAACCAAATGTGCTGGGGGCTGGGGGCATACCTCATGATGGAGTGCTTGCTAAGCATGCATAGGCCCTGAGTTCAATCCCAGTCCCCAGGGGGACTGTACTAGGTAGTAGAATAGACATAGTCCTAGTCAAGAAAAGCATTCTAGGGCTTGGGAATATAGTTCATTAGTAGAACAAGCCTAGCAAGCCCTGGGCTCAATCTCTAGCCCCACACAGATGATAATAATAATAATAATAATAATAATAATAATAATAATAATAACAACAATTGCCAAGAACAGTGACACATGTTTATAGCTTCCCATCAACTAGGGAAGCTAAGGCAGGAGGATCTCAAGTTTTTGAGGCCAGCCTCAGCAACTTAGTGAGACCTTGTTTCAAAATAAAACATTAAAAGGGATGGGGATGTTCTTAGTGTTAAAGTATTATTATTAATAATAATTATTATTAATTATATTATTATGATTATGATTTTGGAACCAGAGACTGATACTAAAGGTGCTTAACCACCAAGCCACATCCCCAGCCTTTTTCATTTTTTATTTTGAAACAGGGTCTCAATATGTTGTTCAGGGCCTCTCAAAGTTGCTGAGGCTGGCTTCAAACTTTTGATCCTCCTGCTTCAGCCTCCCAAGGTGCTAGGATCAGAGCCATGTGCTACCATGTTCAGCTATTATTATTATTTTTTAAAAAAAGAAGAAAGGCATTCTTGTAGGGTGACTAGGAAATTTTGGATCAAAATGATAGGATTGAGTCAGTCCCCTCCGGTGTCACTTTGAAATCACTTTTGCCAAAATTGCTACAAGGTTGGCCTGTGTGCTAATATGTAGTCATCCTAATAAATTTGAGAATATATAATCACCATCTAGTCACAAAGGATGTTCAAATTCTGAAAGAGTATCTCTAGAACTAAGATGGAAAGTTCAAAAATAGATTTGTAAAGTTAGGAATACTCACTAGAAATCTGCTTATATTGTCCCATCTGGGATCTCAAGTAGTATTTCCCAAATACTCAAAAGCTGAGGGGTGGCTTTCCAAGACTACTTACTGGTTTATTCTCAAAAAGTCACTGAAAATTACAAACTGAGCACCACCCAGGAAAAGCACAGGTAATGTTGGGTTATTTGGGGGAGAGGGGCAGTTCTCATGGGGGAAGGTCAACTTCAAGGTCATAGTGCCCTCCAAGACCTTGAACTTGAAAGCCCTAAGAGTGCCAGGGACCACTCACCATGTTAGCTAGCCTAGCTGAGCTCATGCCCAACAACAGTTGGAGACACACAAAGTTCCCTTGTGGCCAGGACAACCTCATAGAAGACAGAAAGCCTGGCAGCTGCCCCCACCCCCTGCATCCAGGCAGGCCTCACAAGAAACCATTTGTGCTGTGAGCAGAGCTTTGACCCTGGGTTTGAACTCAGCTGACAGTCAGCAATGGGGAAATTAGTCTGTAGAAAACAGGAAGGAAATGAGATGAAACCAACAGCACAATAAGCTACCAGAAGGAGCCTAATGGTGTCTTCAAACACAGACGTCCCGGGAAGAAGGCACAATGGTCCTACATGGAAAGGAGGCCAAGATGTCATGCATCAGTGAGGAAAAGAACCAGAGGAAGGAAGCTGTGTTTGGCTTGTCTGTTTCTTTGCCTCCTAGCTGCCTGCCTTTAACATCCCTTTTCTGCAAAAGGACAAATGTTTGTGTTTCCACTTAAATGAGGAACCCAGAATAGACAAAAGTCAGAGAGACAAAGTAAAACAAAGATTACTGGGGATGGTGGGGTAATGAGGATGGGAATAATGAGTCGTTTTAATGGGTACCAAGTTTCTGTTTAGGATGATGAAAAAGTTCTGGAAAAGGGTATGGCGATGGTTGTGCAATATCATAAACATACTCAAGACCCCTGAATTGTACACTGATCAGTAGTAAAACCAGTAAGTTTTATGTTATGTTTACTTTCTCATAATAAAAACAAACACATGGGCTGGAGCTGGAGCTCAGTGGTAGAGTGCTTGCCCAGCATGTGTGAGGCACTGAGTTCAATTCTCAGCACCATATATAAATAAATAGATAAAATTTTAAAAAGGCAAAAAAACAAACAAACCCACAAGTTTATTCAAATCTATTACCATGATGCAATACTTGTGTGGAATAAAAGCCCAAGTGAAACAATATGTGCATGCTTACACACACATACACACACACACACACAGACACACACTCATGATGAACCTAGAGGCACTCTACCATTGAGCACTTTTTATTTTTTTTAGTATTGAGACAGGGTTTTACTAAACTGCTGAGGCTGACATCACATTGTAATCCTCCTGCCTCAGCCTCCCAAGTCACTGGGTTACATGTGTGTGTCTGACAGGCAGATCTTTTCTTGAATGTTACTAATATTCCTTATTTTGCCTTCTATTAGAGGTGCTTCTGCCAATAATAAGCATTTTGGGGCTTGAGAGGCATATTCAAAGATGCCATGCCCTGAGAGAGGCTCTTTAACACTAAGAGATGGAAAAAGATAAAATGAAAGGATTATAGACCCAAGGCAAAACACTATTTGCTTTTAGCCAGCCAAGAGTAACCCTCTATACAACTTCAGGACAACACTGATCTCCAGGATCAACTGTTCTGGAGATAATGAGGGCTTTGAGCTCTTGGTCTGACAGATAACAGGTAAACTTTGTCCTTCAGTCCTTCTTCTTCTGTCTTCATTACATGGTTTCTAGTTTCCACTCTTCCTCTTGGAAGATGTTTTTTAGCTGGACTAGTAGAGCCAGAAGCTGCCCCTGTTTTGAGGTCGAGTTTTATGATTAAATATGCAGTCCACAGAAGATTTTGACATCCCACATGAGTTCAACAGTAATCTGCCATTAGAACTAAAACCTGCAATGGGAGTGAAGCTCAGTGGTAGAGCACTGACCCAGCATGTGTGTGCCTGGGTCCATCCCAGCAATGTAAGAAAAAACAAAAAGGAGAAAAAGTTTTATAAATGTTTGTAATTGCTCATGTGGCTTGTAGGGTGTGATTTGAACACCCTCCTACAAAAAAAAAAAAAAAAAGTCATTAAGCTCAGATTAGCCAATGTTTAGAAACAAGAATATGTCCAAAATTCTGTGTCTTGGTCTAGCATTTAAAGTGTTCCTTACTATGATCTGAGCTCCATTTTCCATTTCTTCTCTCACCCCTGCCTCAGTTACCCTAAGGTCTACAGCGGCCATCCACAGCTCCGAGAACAGGCTCCACCTTTCTCTCCCCACCTTTGCCCTTGGGACCCACGGACCATCTTACATTCTCCACATTCCCCAGCTGGCTTTGACCCTTACGTTGGTGTCTCATGCCTGACATTTCACTCATTGCATGGCAGCCTTCCAGCCTTCCATGTGGCCTGTTTCCTAAGGAAAGGCTGGAACATAGTAAAATCCGAGGGGGCTGGTATGAATTTTATTATGTGACTCTGATACAAAAATTTAAAAGTCACATTAACTAATTTTTCTAATTTTTTTTTTCTAAATCAAAGTAAGGTGACTTGGTACCCTTACATAAATAGGTGGCCAGAAATTATCTCTTGGGTTAGAGAGCCTCCACCCACTCCCCAGAGCTTCCCAAGGGCCCCCGTGCTTATGTAACATCTGCAGAAAGGTTTCTAATCTCTGTTCAGTCATAGTCGCCACAGAAATTCCCATTGTTAAGATCTGTTTTAATGGGACAGTTCCATCACTGTGTGCCAATTGTGGAGATAGGGATCCTTCACCAGGCCCTTGGGAGTTCAGTTTCTCAGAATCTAAATGTTTTGGATGGTCTATCTCTACCTCCTGTCCTCATTCACCTTCTTATCAAAACATACAAACACAAAGTTCCCACTTGGGCAACTCCTATTTGTCTGCTTACCATGCAATAGAGATGCAGTTAAGCTAAATCCATAGGTCCTTTAACTGCCCCCAGGTGACTCAAAGCCCTGCTGGTCCTCTTCAGAGATATGAAAGAAAAGTGGTCTCACTGATTCAGAGTTTGCTGCAAAACAATAAGAACAAAATGCAGTTCTCCATAAATTATCAGCAATGACAAAATGCCAATAATTTCTTGATAAATTAAATTTCCATAGTTCAAAAACTTTATTCATGCACAATTTCCATTAATACCAATAGATACTGGTCACTCATCTGATATTTCACTCATTGCATGGTAGCCTTTAAAGTTAAATCTCTATAATGTAGATAGATACAGTCATCAGTTTCTCTGTCATCCATTTGTTTTGTCAACATTTAAAGGCATTCAGCTTCATTTAATGCTTTGATTCCATAATCACCAAGCCATATATCTTTATTTAAAAATATAGGTTTTCTGTGTCAATTTGCCTATAGGGACAGAAAGCACTGACCAGCCAATATGGGCTTTCTGAACCACTCCATTCCTCTATAGTTTTATTTTCATAATAAATAGTAATAAATAATCATTCACATGGTATATAATTTCTAGTGAGTGGTATGACTACATTAGACCTTGTGGAAGGGAGAACAATAGGTCCCCAAAGATATCCACCATCTATTCCCAGCAACCTGTAATTATGTTACAACCTGACAAAATAGAATTACAGTTGCAGTAGAATTAAGGTTGCTAATCAGTTGACTTAAATTAAGATTACCTTGGAGTACCATGTGGGTCCAATGTAATGACGGGGTCCTTACATGATAAAGAGGGATGCAGGAGAGCCAGATTCAGAGCAGTTAAGTAGACATTTGGGGTCAATCATTTGCTTTGAAGATGGAAGGAGTCCATCCATGAGACAAAGAATACAGATGCAGGCAGCTTCTACAAGATGGAAAAGACAAGGGGGCATATTTCCCCCTGAAGCCTCCAGAAAAGAACCCAACCCTACTGATACCTTGATTTTAGCCCATGTAAGATTTCTGGCCTCTAGGACTCTATGATCATCAATTTGTATTGTCTTACACCACTAGATTTGGAGTGATTTGTTAAAGCAGCAATGAGAAATTTAAAACAGAACCAAAGTGTGCTAGTCAACTTTCTGAAACTACAACAAGTACTTGAGAGAAATCAACTTAAAAGGAGGAAAGGTTTATTTTCACTCACAGTTTCAAATCATGAAC